GGTGAGTGGATTGCCTGAGCCCGTGGGTTTGAGACCCACCTGGGTAACTTGATGAGACTTCATCTCTACAATAAATAAAAAAATTAGCCGGGTGTGGTAGCGCGCGGCTGTAGTTCCAGCTACTTGGAAGGCTGAGTCGGAAGGATCACCGGAGCCCAGCAGGTCGAGGCTGTGGTGGCCGGGAGCGGCCACTGCACTCCAGTCTGGGCGACAGAGTGAGACTCCAACTCAAAAAATTAAAAAAAAATAATAATAATTAAATAATAAATAAAAATAAAAAAGAGACAAGCATGTTGTATCGAATGCTAATTTTCCAAATACGATCATTTTAATGTATAATCAATATAAACATACTTATAAGATGTTTCTCTTTCTTTTCCCATACTTTCTATAAAAATTTCTATCAAGTTTTGTCTGAAGTTCAGTGTGTGCACACACTGTGGCCCTTCTCACTTTGGACAAGCCCTGTTCCAAGTGCTCAACAGCCAAAGGTGTTAATCACAACTGTGTCCCACGTGTAAAATGTCCATGTCACCACCCAGTTCACAGGGCTGGGGTGACGATGGACTGAGACAATGTCACTCAGAATGTTGTCAACATGGGATGCTCAGCGAAAAGCAGACTTCTTTCTATTCATCTTAGGTAGAGTCTGATCAGGACCCTTGTCCCCTGCATTTGTTTCACCTTAGGAAGTGAGAGTATTATTATTTTTGAACGGGGTCTCACTATGCTGCCCAGGCTGGTCTCAAATTCCTAGGTTCAAATGATCCTCCCACCTCAGCCTCCCAAGTAGCTGGGATTACAGGCTTGTGTCACCAAATCTTACTGGGGGGATATTTTTGACACAATTCAGTCTATCCCACTGAGTCTGCCTTTTCTAAAAATGCACCAACCTTCACAATCTAACCATTTGTCTCTCCTCACCACAATATGACTGATTACATATTTCCATTATTGTTGACTATGATTTCAGATTTGCTGAACGTTCTTATTCTTTGCATTTGTGACAGGGACGAAATAGATCACTGCACAAGTACCTCTGCAATGTGCACATTGCAACAGTAAACACAATTCATTGTCAGGCCACTGCCCTTGATTTTCTTTAAACAAAATTTAGGAGTTCATTCTTCATACTAGGCTCTGCTCCAAGCACTGAGATACCCAAAGGGACAATCTTTCCCCTGTTGAAGGTTATATTTCTGTGTATGAAGACAGACAGTAGGCAGACAAACTAACACACATATAAAATCACTCACTCCATTGTGTAATTGTCTGCCACTTTCCACTGCCCCAAGTAGACTAGAGTTTCAAGACAAGGACAGAGAGAATGCCAGATTCATCACTGGACACTTGGCCGGTGCCCTGTCAAAGAGGAATCATTCAATGTGTGTTTGTCAAATGAATGAATGGATTGAACTGAATGAATATTTACTATAATGCTTGGTTGTCAAATAAATGAGTGGATTAGATAAATCTAGTGGCTGCTATAGTACATAGCAATTGAATGAATGAATGAATGAATTGATCAGATCAAATTGAATGATTGCTACATTAAAAAACTACATTTTTAGTCTATGATTTTCCAGATCATCAATAGGAATCCTCTATTCAGAATAGTTCCTATTCAGGCTGTCAAGTTCCCCACAGGCGTCTTCTGTGTGCCAAGAGATTTCTGGCGTTTGGATTTTGTGATGCTCCTTGATTTAATCTTACTAGATGCTTTCCAATATGTTACTGTTGGCTCTTTTATTTTGTTTTGCTTTGTTTCTAATTGAAGCGATTGTAAGGGGGTTTCATTTCATTTGTCCCCAGAATAGAACAAGCCTTCTTCGTCTCACAGCTGTATTTACAAAAACTGATTCCCTTTAGATGACTGAGCATTAACTTAAATCTTATTTCTATTTTAGGCATTTGGAGATGCCTATCTATAGAGAATCCATGAGGTTTTTTTTGATGCTATCATGGTAGACAAGTATTGCTCTAGTTGACTTGCATAGATTCCCCCTTCTCTTAATAATAGTTCCTCAATTTCCCCTCATATATCAAATCCCCTTCCCTGAGGGAGCTGTGATGGTAATGAACTCCACTCCCAAAGTTAAAAAAGATCATTTGGTTTAGTCCAACGATATTCAACTTATTTCCACTCCTACACTAGTGATTGGTCTAGAAACAATCACATGACCTACCCTAGTCCAATCAGACTGAGAGCCAAGCCTGATGGATAATAGTCTCCTCCCCTCCCAAGTTTGCAGGCCCACATGGCTGAGATTTACTGAGAGGAATCTTGCCTTAGCATCCCCAGGTTGCCCCAGATTGGTGTCAGACAGGGTCAGGCTAATGGAAGGTAGCCACCAAGCAGGAATTTCTGGAGGCCCCTTTCTTGCTTTGTCTCTGCCACCATCTGGCCAGAGCTATATGCCTTGACTAAGGGTCCTGTAGGGCCACCCAATCTCAGCTCTCATGGGCTTCAGTGACACTCCATTACTTCTCTCCCATTGGTTTCTCCCATTACTACTTCCTGCATGCCTCACTGATCTTACCCTGCTGGAAACAGATCCTTTATCAAGGCCTTTTCATTGAAACTTGTTTATTGCTGGAACCCTGACATATGAGTCTGCAGAGTTAACAACAAGACAGAGAAACCTAGAAATGGAGAGAGTAGAATGGATCCAGATTTTATCATTTGCAGTCACCTGACCTCCAGCCTTTTCAATTGCAAGCAATAATAAATTTGCTTTATTCTTCAAGTCATTTAGAGTGGAGTTTTCTGCTGCCTGTTCTCTAGAGTCTTGTCTCTGATTCAAAACCAGGGTCAGTGATGGTGAAGCCCATCTTCTGGAGGCACAGAGGGAAGAGGCCAGCATGTGGAGGCTGCAGGTTTGGATTCTGTACCCAGGCCTGCCATCTAGTAACTGTGTAGCATGTCCCAGGGACTTGATTTCTTTGAAATTGTCTATACCATTCTCAGAGCCATCCCATGGACATGGAGGAGCTTGAAAGTCTAGATTCAGTCCTGCTGAGATCCAGAATCAGGATGGGAAAAAAAGAGGGGTAGAATCTGGAAGAAATCTTGCTTCCCAGGGCCCTTTCAAGACATTCTGGAATGACAGCTAGTTCTTTGTATTTGAGTTACCTTATTGGATTTCTGCCCCTTAGTTGGGACTGTGACCCCATGTCTAGATCTCATCAGTCCAGATTTCTGCTCAGTGTGCCCCTAAACCAATCCTTTAGCCCTAGCTCTTCCTGGGCTATCTCCTCTCATTTAACTCCTCTTTCCCAGCCTGGGCTCATCCCCCATGGATCTGACAATAGATACCCCTGCATAGCTCTCTAGTATCCTCACCTTGGCTCACAGGATCCTCCTTTATGGAGACCCCCCCAAATTTGGCAACATCCAACAACCTGTTCTCACCTCCTTTTTATCCAGCCAGATGGACCCAACATGGTTCGTTGACTATGTGATGGCATCCCTCAATCTCATGCCATCTAGTCTTTTTAATACCATGCAGCTCATGTTTATCATTCTAAACAGTCTAAGCACCATCTCCTCCAAGGAGCCCTCCTTCATTCCCAGTATTACTACAATCACACAAGAACATGGCCCATGAGACTCTGTCTGTGCCTTTATTAAAGTCAACCTACACAGTATTGCATTCCTTTTTAAGTGTCCTGTCTTACTATACTATGAGCACACGGAGGGCAGGTTCTGTGTCTTATCTTTTTCTATAGCCCCAGAAATCAACACAAGGCCATACAAAAAAGTAGATCCCCAATAAGTATCTGTCAAATAAATAAGGGGTGATTAAAAGAGCTGACACAGAGAAAAGAAGGCTAGAGCCAGTCCAGTTTCTGAAATTGTTTAGCTGTTCTCTCACTGGGCTGCAAGCCAGGCACATCCCCAGGACAAGGCTCCTGCCTGCTCTGCTGAGTCACACCCAGCCCCTTCCACCAGGGCCCCAACCCCCTAAGGCATTTCCTGACCCTGGCTGAGATGTGACCCGTGGGCTGACCAGTGAAGGGGTTACTCAGTCCCTGAAATAATCAGTAAGACAGAGGGAGAGACCCTGCTCCAAGCCCCCACATCCTCAAAGCATAGCTCTTGCTGGTCTTGGAATGGAAAGTTATTCAGCACCCATTGTGATCCAAGGAGGACAAATGTCACCCCAATGAAATGAGCAGAGCAGAAGCTGGAGCCAGGCTGGAGCCTGAGAAACACACTTCACCTTTCCTTTCCTGGGAAGGAGGCTGTCCTCAGAATAGCCCCACCAGGACACTGAAGGTCAGGCTTCCAGGTCAGAGCCCCAGTGGTCGTCAGCTCTCTGCCTCCCCTTCCCCCCATCCCCAGTCACAATCAACAAATTTCAGACAAATAAGTTAGAGACCTTGGGGTTATTTCAGAGGGCACCAGGTCAACAGCACTTGGTTTCTGGGATAATCAACCTCTACCCATCTCTACAAGCTGACTCCAAGTTGCTGGGTACAGTTCACAGAGCCAGTATATTCCTGTTTTCTCACACGATCTCTCATTACAACCCCTCACAAGACCCAGCTACCTGCCAGAAGCTTCAGGGAGGGCTTTGCATGCCCTGTCTCTAACTCCAGCAGCTCTGGGTGGTACGTGGAACTTATCACCACCTCAGAGGTGAAGAGGAGACCCTAAGATGTTTTGTAGACAAGTATTTACTTATGGGTGGGGGGTTTAGAGCCCAGCGCTCTTCAGTCCCAAGGCCCTATCTGCCTCTACCTCTGGAAGGGAGAAGATAGGAACTTTCCTTGCTAACAGGCATCACTTGCTGGGAGTGGGCACTAGTAGATTTTTTGTGTTGCTGAACCTGGGACCCCTGAGCTCCCTCTGCTTCTGCACCTGCTACTGGCCCAGTCTCCCTCGACCCATCTGCATGGACCCTGTCTGCCCAGAAAGCCCTCCTGCTAGCCAGGCAGTTCGCGCTGGCCTTGGAAGGTGGCCAGGAGCTCGGTGTAGGGACCGGGACAACACTCACTCTCACACAGGCGGCGTCTCAGCTTTCCACGGATCTTGTCGATGGCATCGAAGTCGGACACATGGAAGACGTGGGCGGACTTGGGCTCTGAGGCGATCTCGTCCAGTTCCTCCTTGAGTGCCTCGCCCACGCCCACGGCGAAAATGCGGATGCCCGCGCGGTGCGCGGCCGCTGCGGCGTCCAGCACCAGGTCCTGACTGCGGCCGTCCGTCAGGAGGATGGCCACCTGCTTGAAGGAGCGGTCCCCAGGGCGGCCACCGGCGCGCAGGGAGAAGCTGCGGGCGGTGATGTAGCGCAGCGCATCGCCAGTGTTGGTGTTGCCGCCATGGTAGGTGATGCGCCGGGCAGCCGCCTTGACCTCCTCCTGCGAGCCAAAACGGCCCAGCTCGAAGGCCGTGGTGGGCCGGTCGCTGTAGCGCACGACCCCCACACGGGTGTGGTCGGGGCCCACCTCGAAGGTGTCCACCAGGTTGGCCACCCATTGCCGGACCTTCTCAAAGTCCTCCTTGCCCACGCTGGAGGAGGTGTCCAAGAGGAAGACGAGGTCGTAGTGGACGCTTTTGCAACCTGCAGGGGCAAGAGAAAGGGTGACTTTGTAGGGCAAATGGGTATGGGAAGGGCACCATCCTTGGGCCTAAAGTTGTGGTCACTGGAGTCACTTAAATGTGACTCAAATGCCTACCTGTCTGCCTCTCATAGTCCAGGAGCCTTGGGCTGCCTGAACAGTCTGAGCCTTAGTTTCCTAACCTCCACATGGCCATAAAAATGGTCCCCATGGGGGCTGTGAGGCTTAAATGACAATATAGAACATTCCGATAACATGATTAACATCCATGGAAACAACACTATGCTTCACTGTCTTCACTCTCATTTTGGTTAAAAACTGACTTTTTAAATTTTTTTTAAACCTCCTACAAGAAGGTTCTGAAATGTCCATTTCAGAAGTCAGAAAAAGCATTCAAAAGACGTCTTAAATGCTCCTATTCCCATCTATGCAGTGATAACCACTGTTAAGCCATGGCGTATATAGTTCATTATTTTCTATTTCCATATAATTATCGACGGCAATGGGACTGTTCTAGACACATCGATACAGATGCTGTTTTCCCTGCATCTAGCAATATGCTCAAAACCCATTTCCAGTTTGATCATACTAATTTTCATGGCTGCAGAAAGTTTTCTGCACAGATGAACATAACTAATTCAGCCAGTGCTCTCTGGTTACATATTTAAATAGTTTACAGTATTTCACAGTAAAAAAAAAAAATCTTATAAAATACATTGCCTTCATTTATTTTAAATATAAATTTGTAGAAGTCCTAAATGCTTTATGAATATGTACTCATATTTTTATAAATGTAAATTTTACATAAACTATTCAATGACTTTGATTAAACAAAATATGGCACCATGTAATTTATTTTCCATCCTCACAGCAACTCTGTGCAGGGAGATCCTTGTCTATTTTACACCTAGATGTGATGAAAGGAGGTGCTTTCTAAACTCCAGAATGCTGGACAAATATACAAGGAGCCCAGTCTTGACTCTTCTGGAATATGGGGGTTGGCCATAGCAACAGCAGCAACTGACTGACTAGGCCTCTGGGATCACCTGGCACAAACATTTGGCTAACCAAAACAAAACATGAAAACACTCTGTTAAAATATCAGATTGGAAAAGATAAGACAGGTGGTAAGCAAGGTGCCAAAGAGGTTGAGGAGAACGCATTTACCTGCTCTAAAGGCCATGTGGTATCTCAGGGTCTTTAAAAGTCTCACAAAAGAAGGTATTTTTTTTATCCACCAATGCCAAACTTAGTGACTTACTCCCAAGAAAACGATCAGATAAGGGGAGAAAAAGGATGTATAAGGAAGTTCACAGCAACATGGCCAAGAAAATCCCAGAGACATGGGAACTACTTAGGTAACAATCACTATGTATTCTTAGGGTGGCATTCTAGGCAGCCTTGACGACTATAAAGGAATCCTTATTTACCAATATGGACACACTTCTCTAATATTGTGTTGGGTGTGAAAGGCTGTTTACAAAATATTATGTATAATATGACAGATTTCTGAAAAGAAAGCCTGTGCTTTTGTATGTGTGTGTCCAACTGTATATGTAAGCATGAGAAAAACTGCAGGGGAAACACTGCAGTTTTGGCAAGCAGAACTGCGAGTCAATTTTTTTTGTATTTTCTGCTTTTATATGTGCAGGAATAATTAAGATCAAGACCCAGAAAAAACAATAAATCTATATGTATTCACACACACACACACACACACACACACACACACACACACACACGCCCCAATATTTCCCTGCCTGGACTGAGCCAATGCCATCTTAAATTTTCATACCTACCTTTTCTTCTAGTTCTCAAAATCCAAGTGACAATCTACATGTAGGACGCTGAGGTACATCCCAGCCTTAGCAGAATTGATCCTTAACAGGATTCAAATTTTTGGAGTGTGTTTGCCCAGATGTGTGGAGTCTGAGATAATTCCTATGGATATTTTTTTTTCTCCTTGACACAAAAGGTCACTCTTTTGTCCTTGGGATAATCATGCTCCAGCCAAGATAACTGCTGCTGATGGCCAGGGAGGGCCCCGCCTGAGGGCTGTAATCCTAGAGCAAATTTGTTTTAAGGCTACAGCAAGGTCACTTGTTCAGGAGGCCGTACCAAGGAGCCCTTTTGAGCTCTTGGGACATTTTCTCCAAAAGGCCAGGGAACAGACTGGACTGTGTGCATGTGAGAAGTAAGTGTGATGTGGAGAGAAGGCGTCTGAACCAAGGACAGTGACCTGCCTTCTGGCCTTGGCTTTGCTACAGGTGAGGGACGTGCATTCTTGGCAGATGACTGTTTTCCTCTGCCCTGCCATTTTCCACTCTAGGAGGTGAGGACATTGAAGGGACAAGCCTAGAACTTTTCCGCTTTTGAATTTGATACCTCTGTGCATCAACTGTGCATTTGAGGCTGGCTCAACAGACCCAGAAATCTCATGCCCCTTGCATGTAAAACAGGATATCTACAATTATTACTGTCTTTCCAGCCAGCCGGGCTTTTAGAAGCTCAGGTAAAGTAAAATACATAAGAGAACTTTGTAAAATCAATGAAAATTTTTGATTTAAGGAACTTGGTAAAATCAACCAGAATTATTTTTTTGAGGACCAGGTATGATAAGCTTTAGCACATCACTTCCTGTGTTCTTTTAGCCTCATCTGCTGAGGGCTTTGGGCCCCTCTGCACCTCAGTTCATCTGTAAAATGGGAACAGCATGCTACACCCCAGATTTAGTGATAAGCATTATCCCTGCTGCCCTGTGGGCAGTCCATGAGCATCCCAGACATCTATGTCCCAGGACCCCAGTGTGGGCTCTGTGCTGGGGGTATTATGGACACTAACCCCTCCTTCATGTCTCAGGAGTGGCCGGTGCTATTCCTCATGGCAGGGACTCTCAGACAGGAGAGTAAAACCATCCTATCATGTCTCAATCCTTCTTAACCCCAGGCCATCCCATCTCTAGTAAGCTTTCCCAGTTCCTCAGTCTGCTACATAGGCATGTTTTTCTCACTGTTCTGGACATCTTTTTCCGGCTGGACTCTAAAGTGTCACTTTTTCCCAGAAGGTGTCCCAAAGCCTTCACAGAACAGGACAGCTCAACCAAGTCCTAAACTCTTCCCTCTCTCTCCCCTAGCTCCAAACCTACATTATTTGATAGAGTCCGGCTCACAGCACATTGTATGACTGATCGAGACGTGTGTTAAGGAAGCCTATTCTTTCTCTCCCTTTCTCACACACACTCATTCCCACATACTCACATGCACATCTACACTGACACTGTCACACTTTCACACACTCTCCCATATAGTCTCACATATCCTCTTACACACCTCTCACACACACTCTGTCATATATTCACTCTCCCACACACTCTCACGTACATACACAGGGAGCCCATACTCTCTCTCTCTTTGTTGGAAAGTTGGTTTTACACATGTGTCAGTCGGAGAGCCGCTGACACCATACTTGGATCCCTGACACACTCTCTCTCACAGTCAGTCATTAGCTCATTCACAGGCACCTCCCACTCACACACACAGACATGCACGCTGCCTGCTCAATACCCAGCATGGCTCAGACCGTGATGGCCTTACCTGCACGCTGGGCCTGGCAGCCGCCATCCCCACTCCATAGCAGCAGCATCCAGAGGAGGCAGGTCACAGCGTTCCCTCGGAGACTAGCCATGGCTCTCTTGTTCTTGAGGATAAACATTTCTTGACCAGAAAGAGACATCATTAGGATCTACTGGAGCATTGTCTGTGTGGAGAAAGACACACCTTTAGAGAAGACTCTCAGCTAAAGGCCACTAGAAGCAACCGCTGGGCCCTGCCAGGAGGCATTTCCCCACGTCTAGCCCCCCAGCCTATCTTCCTTCCTTGGATTCAACTCTTCATGCAGCCAACAGTGCAGCCTTCCGAAGACCAAAGCCAAGTGCTACCCCCCTTTACTGATTCTTCTATCTCCCCATTCATCCAACTAGCAAATGTGAACTGAGGACTCCATGGCAGGACATGGGGTTGCAGAAAGGAAGAGGAGAGGATCTTGGGAGATGCCAACCCCACAGCTGCAACCTACCTAAAATCCTTCAATAATTCCGTCCTCATCTCCTGCTGAATACAGTACACGCAACCGGCCTCGTCTAGCCGACCTCTCCTCTCCTCACTCCTTCATCATGCTCTAATAGGTAGCCATGAACTTTCTAACAGTTTCCTACTGATGCCAGGTCTATAACACCTCCCTGCCCCTGAAGAAGGTTTTCCCCCCTCCTGAAATCCCCACACTGATTCTGAGAACCCCTTCTATTAGCAATAGGCTGTTTCTTTAATTGTCCATCTGCCTTATTATCTACTCCATGGACTGCATGATCCCTGGAGGCTGATGCCAAGCTGAATTAACTCAGCAAGAATTACAGCACCTTACACTTAGTCAGCAGTTATCTATGAATGAAAGAAAAAAGTGAAGAATTCTGAAAGAGGTTCCTGAACCTCAGTATTTGCCATTGCAAGAAAGTTATCTCTAGCCGGGCTCGGTGGCTCAGCCTGTAATCCCACGCCTTTGGGAGGCTGAGGTGAGTGGATTGCCTGAGCCCGCGGGTTCAAGACCCGCCTGGGCAGCGAGACCTCATCTCTACAATAAATCAAAAAATCAGCCAGGCGTGGTAGCGCATGCCTGTAATTCCAGCTACTTAGAAGGCTGAGGCGGAAGGATCGCCGGAGCCCAGCAGGTCAAGGCTGCGGTGGCCGGGAGCGGCCACTGCACTCCAGTCTGGGCGACAGAGTGAGACTCCAACTCAAAAAAAAAAAAAAGAAAATTATCTCAAAGGTAATACGGCAAACAATCATAAGCACTCTTTGTTTGCAAAGTACCACTGTGATGCAGGTGTTTGCAAGGATCGGAGGGAAGACTACAGAAGACCATGAAACTATATCCCAGGAACTCATGTGCCCACTGCAGTTGGGAGCCACATGCCAACACCAGTGTCCTGGACCACAGCTGGGAGGAGACGTGTAAATATGAAAACCATGGGGAGGGTAGTGAGCTCATGGATGGATGGGTGTGTGTGTGTGTGTGTGTGTGTGTGTGTGTGTGTGTGTGTGTTTCTGATATTCCTCTGTATTATATTGACCCTTAAGATTTTCATCAGTGACAATCTAAAACAATTTAAAATGTTCTGGTAACCAAAAGAGGACCTCCAAAAACTCTCACTGTAGAGAAAAGATCAACAGGGCTGTGCCAATGACAAAGACAGGTGAACCAATCTCTGGAGTCACGTACCCCTCACGCCCTTCCATCTACACACACAGATACATAGCACACACAGCCATAGACACAGGAAAAGCAAGCTGAACACATGTTTGAAATCACAAACCACCTGGGCCTACCCTGCTGCCGGGGCCCTGCCTGCCCTCTCCACCGCATGCAGTGTCACCCTCCAGTTGTACGGAATCCTTTGTGGTTCCCAGAATGCCAACACTCTCACACCCTGTGCTCTGTGCAGGTCACTACTCCATCCTGGAATGTCTTTCGCCAACTTGGCCTCAAGGTCATTGAGTTCATCTAATTTCTATCAGATATTACAACTCCCTGTGGGAAGACTGTGGTCATTCCCATTCTACAGATTATCATTGATCTAAGTCATGTAAAATAACTCACCCAAGGTCACAATCTTAACAGCAGGCATTGGATACCCTGAAACCAGTAGAAGCATTATTCCAAGGTAAATCATACGATTGTTCCACATTTACGCTAAGCATTCCTACACACTTATAACTCCTTAGCCCCTGGAGGGCAAAGCCTGGGGAGACATCCTCACCTTCCAGTGAGCCAGGCCCTCAAGCACAAAATTCCTTCTACCCTCTATAGTCACCTAATGCCAATGTATAATGCAGCTTTTAATACAACATTTTTAGATGCATTTTACCAAACAGATTGAATGCCGTGCATTGGGTTTTAAATCAAATGACTCACTAGTTCCATTCATGACTCTTATCTTCCTAAACCATTCAGGTGGTATTTGTCCTCAAATTCTGCCAGCAGAATCTCATCTCTCTTCCCACACTTCCAGTATGCTCTGCAGGCTTGAAGGCTTATATGTGGATGTTTATTCCTCACATCTTTTCCCCTCTGATCCTTTCTCATCTCCCTGATAAATAAGTGTATGAGTGAATCTAGTCCTATTTCTCACCTAAGACTTAAAAATGTATTTTTTCCCATGGGCCTGGGACAGGTCCTGGTTACAGCCCACATCATGCCAGCTGAGATAATCCAGGGCCTGCTCCTTGCCCCCAAGGAGCCTGGAGGTTCTTTGAACTGTCAGTCCCAATGACCAGCACAAGGTCCTGCCCAGAGCAGGTGCTCAGTGAATGTTCATATTTGAAGACAAGGAAAAAGAAAGGGGGAGGAGGTAGGAAAGAGGAAAGGACAGAAGGAAAGGAAAGAAAAAAGCTGTCATAGGAAATATTAACTCTGAGAATCTGGACTATTGGCAATTTCTGAACATAGGATCATCCAGATTTCCTTCCCGTCTCCATTCTTTCTAGGAATTAGTAGTACCCACACCTGATCATTTTTTTTTAACCAATAATAAAGATTACCTAAGCGGTTGTTACTGATTAAAAAAATTTAATGAATTAAATGGCTACTCCAAGAAATGGGATAGTGGTTTTTGCCCATATATCATCTTACTGGAGCCTCATGCTATGAACTAGGTACCACTATCTTCCTCCATGTGAAAGATGAAAAAAGTGCAGCCTGAGGGGATTAAAATCTCACAGCTATCCATGGTGGTGCCAGGATTTGAACTCAGGGGTTGAAGGTTACTCCTCTTCCATACCAAGGATGTCTACTTTCTTCACACTATATGCTGAGCTATGTCTAGTCTATTAAAAGTTCTTCAAAAGTTTCACCGTTATTGGCTAGCTAGAACTATAGCTGTGGCACCATCACCATTATTTGATCACTATTTATTTTGGACATTTAATAGGTTGCAGAAAGGAAGAAGAGAGGATCTTGGGGCTTCACAACCCCACAACCACATCCTGCCTAAAATCCTTCAATAATGCCATTCTCATCTCCTACTGAATACAGCACACACACCCGCTCCTGTCCAGCCCCACCTGTCCTCTCCTCGTTCCTTCATCATGCTTTACTAGGTAGCCATGAACTTTCTAGCAGTTCCTACTGATGCCAGGTCTATAATGCCTCCCTGCTCCTGCAGAAGGTTTTCCCTCTTTCTGAATCCCCACACTCATTCTGAGAGCCCCTTAATAGGTCATTTTATTTGCTTAAACTGTTACAGAGGACATCTATATACCCAAGTCTTGCCCATATTTAATTATTTGTTTTAGAGTAGATTTGCAGAAAAACATTTAGTTTTGCAAGAAACCTGACATGACTTGCCAAATTGCTTTCCAAAAGAATGGTCCAAGTTCCACTGTCACCAGCAGTGTTGAAGTGTGTGTGGGTGCCCCTCTTACAACACACTTGGCAGCATTGTGTGTTATCATTTCTTTGATCTTTGCCAGCTCAGTAGAAGAGATACTGTTTCTTGTTTTCTATGCATTTCTTTGTTCCATGAAGTTTACTAGCTAAGTCTATTTCTCCTTCTGTATATTTTATTTTTACATAGACGTACATTTCTAAAGGTATTTGTTATTATTAAAGCCAAGGTCCTGGATAGGAAAAACAATGTATGAATTCCACCACAAATGTATTCATTTAGATGAATAAATCACCTGTTGCCCTCATGTGCCAGGATCTGAAGACAGGTAGATAAATGGCATTGAACCTACTCTGGACAGATACTCACTGACTCACAGGTAAGATATACACCAGGAGAGGATAAGATCAAGTGAATGCTGGTAGAAGGAAGCACAGGGAGTTTGGGAGCACAGGGATGGGTAATATCATCTTACTATTTCAGGGGAAATTCAGTTTGAAAGACTGAGTAGGACTCAGCCAGACAAAAGGTAGGTGATCATTCCAGACAGCAGAAATGGTACCTGCCAGACCCTAGAGGGGAGCCAGAGCATGGTACTTAGGGAACTTCCCCATGCAGGACAAGAATGTAAGTTTGTCTCAGGACAGGCACATCAATTCCATAATCTGGTTCCTTCCAGCTTCAGGGTGAAGTGCACTCATCTTGCCAGGACACTAAAGGCCACCTTGCGAGTGCACAGGGTATAGTGCCTGAATAACAATACTCAGAGAGCAGTAGAAGACAGCCACAGGGACTAGAAGAAATACACCATTCCAAAATGGAAAATGTAGGGGCAGTCAGAGCTACAGTGTTAGGAATCAGGGAGGTCAGAGGATGCATAGAGAATCTTAGCAAGTCAGAGCTGGTTGCTCAGCCCTCTCATCCTTCATAGCTATGTGAAGTCAAAGACTGTCTGCCTTGGCTGTTCCGTTGCCCGGCACCTAGAGCAGTTCCTAGTACATAGTTGGTACCTACATAAATATTCAGTTGATGAATGGATGATGAGTAGCTCTCATCTGATGTTGTTACAGTACTTTGTAATCTTAAAGTAGGTAAGAGCCATTCATTAAAAGAACATGGACAGCATCAAGGAGCTATGAAAGTAACTGTCATTTATTATCCACTTTGTGTCAGGCACTATCTAATTGTTACATGATCTCACAAGACCCTTCAAGACAGGTGAAGGAGTGTACTCAGTGGAGAGAAGATATGTGTCTCTCCCCGGGTTACTCAGGTAGCTAGAGAAGAAATTAGAACTGGCCTCAGGCCTCTCCTGGGCACT